TTAGGATAATGTTAATAGGTTAGGTGCAAGAACACAGCTTTGTTTCGTCACTAATTATCGGGAGAGATTCAGAGAGTGAATTTCCCAATTTGACCTGGGTCAACAACGTTATACAGAGCATTTGTACTGCTCCTACACTTTTCTTGCAATTGTCTGAGAGCAAATACAATGTTTACAGATCTTTGAAATTAGTTTGGTTCTCAAACAGAAGTACTTCTGCAATAGCCTCTGTTTGTTTATTTACAAGTATTCGTGCTTTTATTGAATTTTATTGAGCGGTTGAATTTTTCTCCTTTCTTATATAGGATAATGGTGGCGATTGATCATGATATCATAGTGATTGCATATCTTCTTCTCAACAATTCACGATATAAAATTTAACTTGGAATATTTAGCCTTTATGCTTGGAGACTTCAAATGGAATTACATCACATCCTTGCTAGATTCGAACTTGAGAGTCTCTTCCAAATTGAGTTTACGTGCAGTTCAGTTCTCACTAATTGCTCAACATTCCTTAACTAAACGGTGAAAAAGATATCAAAAGCGTTCAGACCATTCCTTCAAAATGAAAGTTTCTCTGTGGGAAGAGCGAACGGCCATCTGAACTGAGAAAGGGACTGTGAATGTGATATATTGGTTCATGCACTATTTTCAAAGCTTTCGAAGTTCCTTGTGGTAGCAAAAATTTGCATATGATTGGGTCTGCTCTGCTTGACTTCATTAATCTACCACCTATTCTCGATGTTTTAAAATTTCTGCTGAAATTTGCTACTTGCAAGACGAGAAGCTGCTCTTCTCGGATAAGTTAGCTTCGCATGAGACGGTTATTTGTTTAATATTTTGTGCAGAATATAGCGAATGTTTCTGCGGCCTATTCAGAAGCAGTCAATGAGTTGTCTAAAATTGTCTTAGGCTTTTTTTTATATGACCATAGCTGAAATTTTACCCAAAACTCAAGTAGGAGACATCCGCTATAATTGCAATTTACAACATTGTCACTTCTTTCCAGTTCAAACTTCTCTCCTATGCTTATAGCTCTCTCCTATTCAAGGATCGTTTGCAAGAACCTATGGATAAGTCCGCGAAGGTCCGTATAGAATTTGATTTTTCCTGTGGAAACAGTTTGAAAAGTTGAAACGTCTAATGAGGGTAATTCGATCGGAATAACCTATTGGCAAGTTGACAGTTTGGAGACAGTTGAGCCAGGTAAGAACATTCGGTTTTCGGTTTACCTGACAAGAAAATGTACAGCCTCGCCATTTCTTCAAAAGTCCCTTATTCACGCAGATTACTGTGTCGATATTAAGTCGTGACAGTCCGTGGACAGTTAGAAGTCCACGCAATGTTCGGGTATTCCAACATGCAAGAGTCAATCTGAACACGCTTTTGGAGGCAGATGTATGCCTTTGTTTCTTTGTTCAAGCTTGACTGCAGCAAAATATCTGTTGGTCGGATAACTAGATGAGTCAGATCTCTCTCTTAACGGAATAAGCAGTGTTATGATTGAAAAAGGTTGCTTGATCATTCAGGATGCTACCAAACAGAATTGTCATCAACTACGTCAATCTTGAGCAACAAAGTTTTGAACTTCCTACGTGCAGGGTTAGGTTTGTGGCTCCTAGTACACGTTGCACCTGCTGCTTCCTTTCTCACTATGCAGGGTTTTATGGAATTGCGCATGTCCTTTGAGTCTGTGCAAAAGTTTCTTTAGATGAATCTAGCGTGCACAGAACTGCTTCCATCTAGCGAGTTTGGACGATGACAGCGAAATTTCCAAGTCGTTTGTTAGCAGTATCCTTCTCATAAACGAAACGAGCTTTATCTGCCCGAGTTTGAAGTGAGAGTTGCCTTTCTCTCAGAATGGTTACCCTAACTTCTACCCATGCACACTCACTTTGTCTGACTCTTCAACAAAGATCTGACTTGAGAGACCTTACCCGAAGACATATGTCATCGTCAACGTAGCTTACAATTAGCATGCAAGCTCCTTCTCAGATCAGAAATGTATCCGCGGAAAAGGTTAATTCAATACTTAAATAATAATATACACATTTTCAGTTATAAAATCAACTTATAAAATATACATTTAACTATAATAATAATAATAATAATAATAATAATAATAATAATAATAATAATAATAATAATAATAATAATAATAATAATAATAATAATAATAATAATAATAATAATAATAATAATAATAATAATAATAATAATAATAATAATAATAATAATAATAATAATTATAATAATATTAATAATAATAATAATTAAATAATAATAATAATATAATATTAATAATAATAATAATAATATATAATAATATAATATATAATAATATAAATAATAATATAAATAATAATATAAATAATAATATAAATAATAATATAAATAATAACATAAATAATAATATAAATAATAATATTAATAATAATATAAAATAATAATATAAATGATAATATAAATAATAATATAAATAATAATATAAATAATAATATAAATATTAATAATAATAATAATAATAATAATAATATTAATAGTAATAATATGCTTAAATGAGCTAGTGCAATGCGAAAATTAAATATTATTAAGTCTAAGGTGATATCTTTACATATTTCAGATTCAGTCTGGTAACTTCTTCTTTCGAGCGTCGTTGATCTCTTCCATAATTCGTTTCGATAAAATCACTATCATTTCTGCAAATTTTATTCACTTAATTTAAATTTAGTAGCAACCAAATATGTATTTTTCTTCCTCAGTAAGACCATTCGATAAATTTAAAAATTCGAAAAGGAGCTTAAGAAATAAGCTTTTTCATAAGGTTTATTTAACAACCGTTTCCTCTGCTACAGTAACAAATTGTATTTTGAAAAAATTTCCCATCAATGATCGCAGTTATATGACATGTATCAGATAAAATCGAAATCAGGAAACGTTGAAAATGTCGTATATTCGATGAGAATGAACTATCGCTGTCACCAATTGCTGAACTGTATCGTAGCTAAAAATAGAAGGTTGACATTTGAATAATAAATTTATTCAAATTTCAATATAAAAGTATTACCTTCATGCAAAAATTTGTGATTTAGAATTGATACTTCAATAGTTTAAAAACATCAAAATGAGTTATCATCCGTCGATAATGAAAATGATAGTTTACTCCTTTGACTATCGCAATGAACATTATAGGCTTTGTTTAATTTAAAAACTAAGATATTTCGAAATCATATATGTTAAATGGTGTAAGTGAAGTGGGATGTAAAGATTGAAATACAGTATTACTAAATAGCATAGAATTTAAATAACAATTTCAAGTAATAGATTTATTATGAACCATTTATGCATTTTGAGAGACAAATTCCTTTATTCTCTCATCTCATAGCTTATTTAATCTGTTACATACAAATTGTTGATTTACACTTAGCAATGATAAATAAGTAGGTAAATAAAAAAAAAGATGCATATACCCGACATCGATCAGTGTTAAATTTGTTCACCATGGAAACAGTTCGATTTACTGAATACATCTGATCCTTGATACTGCTCCATTTTAAACTATGATTAGTTAAAAAATTTCACATGCGCAACAAAATAGTTTTGGCATAACAAACAGTTTAAAAGTTTTGAGTAAGTTTTTTTGCTAGATAAAACTAGTTTAACACTTATATTTAAAATCATTTTATCAGCTAATTATCCGCATTGAATATCAAGTAAATAATAGGTAATATATATTACTTATTATTTACATACTGTAACTGTTAATAAATAATATGTATTACTTAAATATATTAAATTATAGTACAATATCTTATATGTTATTGTAAAATGTAAAAATAATCATCAGTAATTTTAAATGTTTTGGTATTATATTACTGTAAAATTCGAGAATAATTATTAATAATTTCAAAATTTAAATCTTTCCTTTTCTTCAAATAAAAAAACAAAAAGGTAAATAAAGTTAAACAAAGTCTAATAAGTTCTTCTAGCAATATTAAAAAATATTGATCGATTTAAAAATATGCAAATAACTTCAATTAAAATAACATAAAATGTCAACGAATACAAACGTTAGTATAACTTCATTATATTGATGAAACAAATCCCAATAAATAACCGTTTTGCTGCATTGTACCTAAAACAAATCATAATTTAAATCTGAAAATATCTTTGGAAGAAAAAAATAACAAATAAGGAAAAGACAAAAATATTTATATGAGAGAAACGATCGCGTAGCAATTAAATAACAAAGCAAATAATCTTTAATGTTAAGAATTGTATTACTCTTTTATTAAAGTGCTGTCAGATTGCAAATGAATGACATTGAATTTCAATTTTAAATATCTTTCAATACAATTAATTTTGAAATGTTAAAATATAAATAACCACAGAGATAGTGAATCCGGTGTGTGCCCAGGTGTATGAAGCACTTCTAATTTATCATGATCACTATCACCAAGCTCTATTATTGCACTATCAGATAACCATTTTGTCACCCTATACGGTTTTACCTAAATAATTGCTTTTTTTGAAACAATAAATAAAATATCTTTAAATAAAATATATTTTCTTTTGAAATAAATAACAAAAAATGCTAATGGAAAGCATTAGACAAATCACATGTTTTGCTAAACAAATAAATATTGAATAAATTTGCTAATTTGTCAAAAGAGACAAAAATTTTTGTCAATTAAAAATCTAATTTAGTTGATTTCATTTTGAAACAGTATCATTTAAAAACTTAACCAGTAAGTTTGATTTTTAAACAGTACAACTTTTTAATAGGTCAAAAGAGAGGTCGTACCTGCTAGTCGTATTCACTATCACGAAGTTTCGGATTACGATCGGATGCACACAATGCTTCAACATTTATCGTAAGACCGTTAGGACCAAGAGAAGAAAATTGCCAATTATTACCTGTCTATCTCATAATTTATATTAATTAGTGTTAAAAAAAATCTACAAAATGAAATGAAATGGGATAAAATGGGCGCATTAATTAGAAATAATTAACAAAATAATATGTATTTCCGATAAATTGAGAAAACTTTTGAAAAAAGACATAGTGATAAAAGTGTAATATTGATAACTTTATACTCATCTTTAATCTTTGATAACTGATAATAAAATTTGAAAAAGAATGATATTACTATGTTGTAATTAATTTATAAGTGTTATCTGTTCAGGATGATTATGACTATTCACTACTATCAGTATCTTTTTCACTTTTACTAAGTTAAAATGATTCATTATGTAATTATATAAATTGCCTGTTCCACAACCAGTATCCAAAAGTAATGCTAAAATTATATAATGCATAATTTAACTTAGTAAGAAAGAGAATTTGAGAAAAATTTAAAAAAAAAAAAAAAAGGGAAAGAACTTGAAAAAGAGAAAAATTTTTCCTTCTTTTTTTTCTGAAATTGTAATAATTTTATTATAAATATAAATCAGCTGATCGATTTTTTTTTTGACTAATTTCATACTTAATGATACTTTTATAGTACTTTTATTAATTCTTTTTGTCTTGCAGAATATTAGTTAGAATAATAAATATTCGAATGATATATTTCAAACAATCACAAAATAAGAGTAAAAATATAAATTGCATCTCTTTTTTCAGCAGTTAAAAAGAATTAGAGATCATTTTTTAAGATTACCTTTTTCTGTACCAATAATTAAGTACATCAAAGGTTTATGATTGCAATAATCATCTTCACGAATACAGTAAACATTGATTGATAATTGTTTTTACCTGATAACATCCTTTTTCGTTAGCCATTTATCTAAATTCTAAAAGAGATAAACTATTAAATAAATAATTTCTTTTGTAATTTTGATTTTTTAATAGAAATTTAAAATGATTGATAAATTTGTGCGACTTAAGGTTCGTTTTTTTATTTTTTACTTATTATTTATTATCATTCATGATAATAAATAACAAGGATAGAGTGCCTTAAAATGTTAATCAACTATTTCAAAGTATTAGAAGCTAAGATAAGACACCAGTTTTATTCATAGAATTAGTGCTCATAAAATAAAATAATGCATTTGAACGGAAAATGAAAAACAAACGATAATCACGCTACCAGTGAATTTGATAAATGTGTTGACAATTGATAAAATATTTGTCACATGAGTAATGATAATTTCCATCAAATAATAATGAAATTTAATTGTATGCGGTTAATGTTTGAAAGTGTAAATGTAGGAGCGACCTTTCACTTTCAATCAACTTTCAGAATAATACGTAACGCACGTGTTATTGCAATTTTCGTTTAAACATATTTCCAAAAAAAAAGAATAAATAAATAAGATAAAAAACATATGATATGATCAGATGTTCTTAATTATGCTAGTTTTTGTATATTGTTCATTCATTTATGATATTTAATTGATTTTAAGCAGTTTAAAATATAACTGAATCATATTCATTTAAATTAATGATTATACTAAATCAATAGTAAACTATGTTTACAAATTTAGAATGTACCATTTGCCAAAATTCCGTCTAATTATAAATACTGAGAATTAGGACTGACTAATTATGGTTCAACCACACGTTTCACGCTGTTGTCAAAATAAATTTACAAATTTATTTCAGGCAATAATTTAAAATATTTGAAATGATTACTTATCAAAGTTTACAATAAATGATTGTTTCTGTTACAAATTAATACATTTGGGTGATATGTTACTTTTTTTTAAATATTTTTTTTTTGAAGAACAGAAAAAAAAACGAAATGAGATTATAAACTAACAGAGAAATAAAATGTTAAACCAATTTCACTTAACTAATAAGCTATTATACATTACTATTATATAATGTGCAATGCACATTTACAAATTGATTTTGTGATATATTAAAAAGACACTTAGGTATTTAAAATTATAGTGAAATGAATAAAATCCATATAAAACTCGATATTTTAAATGTTTTCGAGTAGTTTTATTAGTATAAGCATATCGGATATCATTTGATTTATCTTTTAATTTTTGGCGCCATTTAATCAATTGGTATTTTATTAAAACAATAGTAATAGCTAAATTTTTAAATAATCAAAATTCCTGGAATTTTTTTGGAATAAAATTTTAAAAAAAATCTTAAAATAATTTGCAAAAAAAAAAAAAAAATTATCATTGACATATGCCTACAGTAATAAATGATAGGATAAAAACTTATCGATAATGTAAAAAGGAAAAAAAAAAAAAGAATATAACACGAACGATTAAGCTGTACAAATAAGAGAAGTTGTTCAAACAATAAGATGAATCATTCTTGTTTTGAACACCGTTTTCAAAGTTATTTTTGTTTTTGAATGAAACGTTTGCATTATACCATGCATAAATATTAAATGGCGATTGATTTAATACATTGCTAAAAAAAGTATAATTTGATTTTTTCAAGTAATTTACGTAGTTAACATCGTACATATTACAATACTCTTAGTTATTTACTTCTTTTATATGAATATAAACTGATAAATTTGAAAATTTATTTGTTAACAAATAAATTTATTTGAATGAAGCATGGAAATATGAAAGCAAATTAAATTTATTTTGCTTTTCAAACAGATAAATTTATACTTAAATTAAGGACAAAATTACAGAAATGATTTTCAAAAATTTCACACTTCAATCCTTTTGTTTTATTCTCAAAATTTTGTTTCGTTTTTCAGTAACCAACAATATTATGATTTACAATTATGATTACATTATGATAATGATTATTTTAGTAATTATGATAATAATTATTTGTAGCAAAATTATTATAAATTACTCCTTATAATGAAGTGACGATAAGTCATTAAAAAAAGCATCGTTATTATTTAGTACAGAGGTTAAATTTAATGAAAATGAATTTTCTCGATCAAGAATGAAATTTCGAAAGCGACAAATAACATCCATAAACCACAGCTGAATGAATAGTAATATTAATAATGCTATCACAAATAGTAAACCAAACATTTGCATATCTGAAAAACAAATTTTTTATCAGTTAGTATTTCACTAAAAACTTGCATGAGGACAATTTTTTTTATTATAGTTATGTCTAAATTAAAAGCATTCAAATTACATTATATGCAATTTGAACGGAAGAGTAATTTGACAAACAATTATTCAAAATAAACAGCTGAGTTTTCAATGTCACACGTGAATCATACTTTCATCAGTTAGTAATTCTCTGAAAAATTTATGAGGATAGTTTTAATAAGTTCAAACTTTTTAATATAATTAATTGGAAGAATAATTTGACAAAGAACTATTCAAAATCTCAAGCAATGAAGATATTAATCATTATCAGTAGAAGTTTATTTGTTACAAAAATTCAAAAATTTTTTTGTTTTATTTACTTTTTTTTTTTTAGAGAAGAATTTATCAAAAATAATTTCATACAATACATTGTTTTTTTTTTTTTTTTTTTTTTTTTTGATATTAAAAAACGCAAGATCACATTTAATTCAAAGAATAAAAAGTTAGCTATAATTTAAATTATATAAAAATACAAAAAAAAAAAAAACGAGAAATTTTTGAATCGTATAAAAGTTTGAAAAAAAAGAGAAAACACCGCAGTTGAACGATAAATTTGATAAAATATTTGTAAAATTTGGTTAGGAAATTTGTAAAAAAAAAAAGAAAAGTACCAGATTTAGTGATTCTGTTATCATTGATTCGCATTCCACCGATGTCAGCAGCAAGAGCATTGATCATTTTATTAGAAAATATAGAACCAATAACAAAGATTGCAATTATGAATATTGTACATAAAACTGATGTAATCTAAAAAACAATACCAAATGATATTGAAATTCAAATATTATTAATCTAATACACATATGTCAAAAACATTTCATAGCAAACAACTTTTATTGTTTTTTTTACTTACTAATAAAATACCTATACTTGCTACTTTTACTTACAAACACACAGCAAAAATCGCACAGCGGAAATAAGTAATGGAAATAACTCGAACGACTAACTGATAATTCCATGATTTCATTAGATTATCATTTAAAACTTAGTTAATGAATAACATATATCTTTTAACATTACATGCTATCATAATTCAAATACTTCAAATGGTAAACAGAAGAGAATAATTCGAAAAACAGATAGTCAGATGATTATGTTTACTAATTTTATACTTATTATGACATCATAAACTAAAATAAATTAATAAAAAACTGACATTTATTAATTTATACCAAAGATGATATCATAATTATCAAATTAAACTAGTTTATTAATTTCGTACTTAATGTATGATATCATAAATTATTAAATTAAGCTGACATTTACTAATTTTGTAACCAGTATATTATCAAAAATTAATAAATAGGCAAAAATTTTAAATTTTAATTAAAAATTTGTTAACATACTTGAAAAATTATATATGGTAGAATGAATATTTGCTTCTCCTTAAAAATGCCATATGCTAAAGTACCAAAGATAGCAAATGCAAAAGCAAGTGATGCAATCGAATAAAATGCTAAAGTTACACCTTGTGAGCATACGGTAAGAAAAACGACAAATACCGCTCCACAGAAATAAGCAATAGAAATAATTCGCGCAGCTAACTATAAAACTATGATTAAATGACTATGATTGATTAAATTTAATCATAAATTCTAATCGTTTTAATGAATACTGAACAAAAATAAAAAGTTGACAGATTAAAATAATTTATCACTCAAAATTTTCATTTAAAACATTAGGGCGTTAAATTTATTTAAATGCAAATTTAAATATTTGCATTGTTTATAATAACAATTATATTAGGCTAGTCAATTTTTTTTTTTTGCTAAATTATGATTTTAATGTTAAAAATTTTGAAATAATAAAGTTGAAAAATATTATTATCTGATTTATGTCATTTATGTCAAATGATATAAATAAAATCTTTTATCATACTAATAGCGAAAACGATATGAATGTTTAAGGACAACAGTTTAAATAAGCAAAATCTAGCGCATATAATACTCTCACGTGCTTCTTTTTCACGCGTTTTATTATTTATTCGCAAAATTTAAATTTTAACTGAAATTTAAATAAAAATTTAAACTGACCGTAATATGCATATAACCATAGCAGCACTGATATTTCGCATCATTATGATCAAAATTTGTTTCATGACTAATACCATATGAAATAAATGATGGTATTAATGCTGGTGATGTACTGATTGGTGTAATCGGTATCACATATTGCGGTGAAATTGGTTCACTTGGTGGTAACCCCACTTTTTCGTCAGTTTCTTGTGATACATCAATTGTTGCTAATGATGATAATGTGACTGATGATGATGACATTATTGATATGAACAGAATGCTTTTGTCCCAGAATACAAAAAAAAAAAAAAAAAAAAAAAAAGTGGCTTAAAATTGTCGTCGTGCTAGCTAGCACTAATAATTTAAGTTTACTAAATTATAATTTTAACAAAATATACTGCAGCATAAAATGCCAGCTGTACAAATAAATTTTTTTTTTCCTTTTTTTATTGTCTTCTTTTTGGTTTTATGAAATATAGCTGCTTTTTTAGCTAATGATCAGTAATATCTCTATTTAAACTTAATTTCATCATCATCTGCATATCTTTCTATCTTACTTTTTTTTAAATTTATTTCAATATCGATTAATAATAATATTGCGTTGATTTCATTATTATTGTAGTTGAAAAATTCTAGTCAACGATCTAAAGATGATGAAAACAAAGCTTACGGATGATAACTTATGCACAAAAAAAAAAAGAAAAATGATTTTCCAGAAAATACTTTAATAAATTATTGTTTAATACTAGAAATTAAAAAAAAGAGAAGGAAAAGACAAAAATAATGAAAGATTTCGTTAAGGAAATTTCACACAAAATTGTTTCATTGAATACAAAAGATTATATTGAAGTCATATCACTTTGTTTAATTAATATCTCTAATAAGAAATTAAGGATTTTTAGAATTTTATTTATAAATGAATTTAACTTTTATATAAATATACGCATACACATATATTATACATACATACACAGACACACGTACATATATATTTAAAATATTGAATTTCATTTCAAAATAAAAAATAATTAAAGTTCATATACAGAACACCAATGAATAGTAAATTACATAGGTATCTATATAATGTCCGTTACTTTTATCAAATACATAAGAAATTGAATATCGAAATTTAAAAAAGAAAAGGTATGGAAATAATGTTATCAGTCAATTATACAACATTAATAAATTGAAAGAAATGAAAGGTAAACAAAAAAAGGAAAGCGATCTTTCGTAAAACACAACATTTAAGTTACATACAAATCTTAACATTTTTTATCATTCGTGATGAGTCAATCACCAAATAATTTTGCATTTGTAATTAATTTATGTCCAGATCTTTCGTGCTAACTACTTCCTTTTATCTCATACAACAAAAACCAATCTTGTTACAAATCTCTGTTTTACATTCATGGGAATACTTTCTTCCGGATTTCCGGTTGTCAAATTAGTTCTGTATATAAACTAACCAACCTTCTCCACTAACCATTATTCATTCCACGTTTTTGAGTGGTTTTTAAGGGTATTTTGAAAAAATTTTAGTGTTTTATAATTGTATTATATCTATGTGTTGCACGTTGTTACATGTTGATTTGTTTGGTTTAATTACCTAAGTTCGAGCTCGGTAAAATAAATTATCTGTCAATCACTAAATTCCACAACAAGGATTTGTGAGATATGTCTGCCAGCATAATTGTCAGAGCGAAATCGGTAAAAGCAAATCTCGAGAAACTCCTCGATGAAATACGATAAAGGGATCTAACCGCCTTAGACCAAAAATCGTCAATAAAAGTATTGTGCCAGCAATACGAAAGAGGCAAAAATCATCAAGAAAAAATTAATGCGCTTCGAAAAGTACGTTGCACTCTTGAAAAAATCAACGATAAATGATTGGAATACATTGAAAAACCCCAATGTTGCAAAGGAAGAAAGAAGAAGGGAAATATGAAAAAATGGCAACTGATGACAGAGGTATTTTAAATTTAATCAACATAAGTACGGATACTATTATAACCTTATCAATGTATAAGGACGATATTGAGTTAGCTCTTAAACGCTTAACACGAAGGAACACAGTCTAACTGAATGTCGTCCAGTAGTAAATTTGCCTCAACTGTCACTGTCAACATTCAGCGGTGATCCTAAGACATGGAGAAAGTTCAGCAGTAGTTTCGAAGCCTCCGTACACTCTCAAAATATACCCGACATACAAAAGTTAAATTATTTAGTTTCTTGTCTAAAAGGAAGCGCCCCAAAGCTAGTAAGAGGTTACGATAGGGCACCTGAAAACTATAGAATTATAAGAGAATTATTAGTGGAGAAATTTGGTCGTGTTTCCACTATAAGAAAATTACTTTACAATGAACTCATATCTACAAAACGAAACGACCGAGACTGGAAAACAATAATCGAAGAAATGGAGAGAGTTCTAAGGCAGTTAGAAGCAATTGGCGAAAACGTAAAGTAACCTATCATCAAAACGATAATAGAATCCAAATTGCCAAACTGGATATTAAACCAGGTTTATCAACAAAAAGAAGAAGATGGCCAGTGGTCCGTAACAAAACTTCGACAGCTTCTCAGGAAGACAATTAGTAGAAACGACCAGGTAATGGAATGACAATACTTGGATAACGTCAGTCGTAAAAATTTAATTAAACGTCATCCTAACGCAAGCATTCCAGAAAATTCAGCATTGATTGCAATAAAACAATCAAAGCAAATCAGAGGAACGGCTTCAGCCGAAAAGAACCAGCTAAATCAAGAGAATCCAAATTGGTCGACAAATAAGAAAAGGAGACCCTGTATCTTCTGCAATAACAATCACTGGGATAGCAAGTGTCACATATATTCTACAGTGGAGCAGCGAATTGATCGATTGAAGGAAATCAGTGTTTGCTCTAATTGTTTTAAATCTGGACACAACGAACTCAACTGCATAAAAAGAGCAAGTTGTTTTTATTGCAAGAAATCCCACAATAGCGCCCTTTGTACCACTAAGACTCGTGATTCTGGGAAGATTGTTGCCAAAAATGCAAAAATATCTGTTAATTCAACTAAGAAAGTTGAAAAGAAACGAGTACTGCTTTTATGTAGAGAAATTAATGTCTTTAATCCTGATAAACCTGAACATCAAGTACAAGCTTTAGTACTGTTTGACGTCGGCGCAGATGCGACCTTTATCTCATAAAGGCTAGCTCATCGACTAAATCTCCTAGAAACTGATGAAGAAGAATATAAGATTTCTTCCTTTGGCAATAGGACTCCTCGAGTATGCAGCACAACTCAAACACAAATTGGAGTGAAAACGGAAAACTCCGATCAAGTGACTATCCAAGCCACTGTAATGGATTATTTGACAAACGATCTTCAAGTGATGGAAGTGGTAAACAAAGGTGAGAATTACCATCTTAAAAGTTACAAGAAACAACCTGACATAGTTATAAGAGCTGACTATTTCTTCAACTTTATTCATATGGAAAACGCTCAGCAACTAAAGTCAGGATTCACTTTACTGAACAGCAAAGTTGGACCTATCATATCAGGAAGCGGTTATACAAATGAATTGTGCCATCACCAGATCTTTGCAACGAAGACATCTCAAGAAAACCGTGCCCCAGATATAGATCAATTTTGGAAGTTGGACTGTATTGACATCCAAGATCGATCTGATACACAAGATGATGAACAAGCACTGGAACAATTTAAGAAGAGTATCACTAAATAAAATGGAAGATACGAAGTACGTTGGCCATGGAAACCATGCAAAGGCAAATTGAGCGATAATTATGGATTATGCGTCAGCCGTTTGCGAATGCTAATAGCACGACTTCAGTCCCATAAAGAGGAATTACAAGAATATGATAAAGCAATACAAGATCAACTACAATCTGGCATAATCGAAGAAGTACAATCACAAATGAATCAAGATGGAATTATTCATTACCTGCCACATCATGATGTTCGTAATCCAGGTAAAACTACCATTAAGTTAAGGATTGTTTATGATGCTTCAGCGCACATAAAGGGAATGAAAAGTTTAAACGAAGTATTATATCGTGGATCAATTAACCTCCCAGATCTTGTAGGAGTATTATTACGCTTTAGAATGATGAAAGGGGTAATCACAGCTGACATTGAAAAGGCATTCTTACTACAGTTACACCCTTCAGAGAGAAATTGTACTCGCTTCCTTTGGCTAAAGGAAGTAGAAGGAAGTGTATCCAACGAGAATATAAAATGTTACCGTTTTAGAAGAATCCCATTTGGAGTAATATCATCCCCCTTTTTACTATCTGCTACCTTGAATTATTTGGAAAACCACGTTAGTGAATTAGCCGCAGAAATAAAGAAAAACCTTTATGTGGACAACGTTATTGTATCATCAAACGGAACGCAGGACGCATTAGAAAAATATGCGGAAATGAAATCCATCTTCAATGAAGTCTCAATGAATCTAAGGAAGTTTTTATCTAACGACGAAGAATTTTATGCAGAACTGCCGCAGCAAGATCGAGCGATAAGAAAAAATATGAAAATCCTCGGCATCTCACGGAATCCCTATCAAGTCATTCAGATAAAATTAAATCTATGGAATGACCGAGAACTAACAAAAAGAATGATCTTACAGTTTGTTGCATCACAATATGATCCACTAGGATTTTTAGTTCCAATAATGGTAAGATTTAAAATATTTTTGCAAAATTTATGGAAAAAGAATAATTCGTGGGATCAGATATTAGATGAGCAAGACCATAAGCAATGGAAATTTCTTATTGCTGAATGGGCAACGGTCGTAAAAGACTTACCGCGATTTGTAACAACTTCTACAGATTTAATTGGAATACATGTATTTACTGATGCTTCAAGCGTAGCATATTCAGCAGCAGTGTATTTAGTGAGTCAGGATATGCAAGAAACAAAGTCATCGCTCATTTTTGCAAAATCTCGCATTGCTCCTATTAAAGGTATGACAATACCGCGTCTAGAGCTAATGGCCATACTAATCGGAACGCGAGCAGCGCAATTTGTCATGACACAGCTGGATATCGTCAATACAAGGATAATTTTATGGTAGGATTCTAAATGTGCTTTACCTTGGATAAAAAACCATTCTAACCTATTACCAAGATTTGTTCAAAACCGAGTCGAGAAAATACGTAAAACGAAATTTATCTTTCGTTATATTCCATCAGAAGATAACCCTGTAGACGTGGCAACTAGAGGTCTTAATCCAAAACAACTTAGAAGTTTTACACCATGGTGGCATGGACCGTCGTGGCTAGTAAAAGGAGAAATCAGTTGGCCACAATGGGAATACGAATTTGACAACAATGACTAACCAGAAGAAATCACTATATCAGAAGTCTCGCGAATATGCAAGGATCATAACTTTCAATTTATTGATAGCAAACGTTTCAGCAAATGGCTAAGACTGTTACGAACAACAGCGTGGATCCTTAAATTCATTCGATTAACAACTAAAGGCAGATTATCATGGCTACAGTCTGTTTCAATCGAAAGAAATCGATTTACAGCTGAAGATTACAAAGTGTCAGAATAGCTGTTAATTAAACAACCACAATCTGAAGGAATCAATGACGACGAAATAAACAAGTAGAATTTATTCCACATCGAAGATGATAAACTATGGAGATCTACTAGCCGACTCGTGAACTCGGAACTGCCTGAAACTAGCAAATATCCTATCTATCTCTCTCGACACAACCCAATAACAGAACTCCTTATACTATACCAACATGAAAATCTATATCATTCTGGTATCGCCCATACACTTTCAGAATTAAGGAGTAGATTTTGGATTCCCAAAGGCAGGACTGAAGTAAAGCGAATAATAAACAGATGTCGAATCTGTAAACATTGGAACTCCAGATCGTTTAAATTACCAGCAATGGCAAGTCTCCCGGAAACTCGTGCCAATCGATCTAGAGCTTTCGCACGTGTTCGCGTGGATTATTTTGGCCCTCTTTCAATCAAGGGCAATAGCGTGTCAACAAAAAGGTGGGTAATATTATTTACATGCTTTACAACAAGAGCCATGCATCTCGAATTAGTAAAAGACCAATCCGCAGAAACCTTTTTGCATGTTATCCGAAGATTTGTTGCAAGACGAGGGTGTCCTGAGCTAATTCTGAGTGACAATGCCACTCAATTCCAGGCTTTCAGATCTCTTATGACACAAATCAAAGTCTCCAACTTCTTAGCAAAGGAAGGAATGACTTGGAAAAATAATATACCAAAGGCTCCGTGGCAAGGAGGAATCTACGAGAGATTAATTGGGTTAACGAAAAATGCGCTAAGAAGAGCCACTGGCAGAAAATTCCTAGCGGAAAGGGAATTGGTAATATTAATTGCAGAAGTTGAAGGTATACTTAATACTCGACCACTAACTTACGCCAATTTTGACGATTGCGTCATTATACGTCTAATTGATTTTATTTTGCCTAACGCTTCGCTCCATCTACCTATACACCCCTTATAGACTAGATACCAGAGAAAAACTCGTGAGACACTAGGAAAGTACCCGTAAAACTCTCAATGTTTTTTGGGAAATCTGGAGAACCGAATATTTAACTAGCCTCAGAGAACGCACGCAAAGGGAAATTACCTCATCCAAAGGAGCACAAAAAAGAACTCCAAGAAAGGGAGAGATTGTACTCTTAAATGAATCGGGAATTCCAAGAGGAATGTGGAAATTATTACGGATCAAGGACATCAAAATCGATAAAGACGGTAAAGTTAGGAACGTTCAGGTGGAAACTCCCACTGGGAAACTTCTCGATCGTCCAATAAATGTCTTGTATCCTCTCGAAGTTAATGATGCAGAAATTCATCTTGAACCTAATAAGAAAGAAAATATGAAAATTCCGGAAACCGAACAGAACACTGAGGAGCTCCAGGAACCTATTGCGATGCAAACTAGGAGCGACAATCTCGATTAAAGGAGGTCACTTATTAATGGTCTCACCTTTATCAGTATCTATGCTTTATACCTTAATGATACCAGTGAAGGCAAAAAAAGAATGCCAATGGAAAACAGGAATACCGTTCAATATTCCAGAGAAATGGAATTGTGAAGAAATCACGGCACAGAACTCCAGTCTACTTCAGGTTAATGTTTACACTCGCAGTCCTATCACACTCCCTGCGATCAAGTGTAATAATATCACCCGAACTGTGTGTACTAAAGCATTTCTGTGGTTTTCATTATCAGTAATTTCGGACCAAACAACTACCACCGCACCATCATCAGAAACCTGTAGAGATTTACACGATCAAAGACAGATCAATGGAAGTAAATTAATCCAAATTTTCCATAATAAGTGGACAACAACCAATCAAGTACATTACTACTACGGATGGCTGGATGTTAGATGCCAATCCACTACAAATTTAGTATTAACAGAAGGAGAAGTATTCCTTTACGATGGAAATGGGTCTGTATCGGATTTCGAAACTGCGGAGAATTGTATTACACAAGATGGAAAATGTATCACAAACAACAGTATCTGTCGCGGATTTTAATATCGCGATCTAAAAATATGAGTTGCAAATTGTAGTAAAGATATCTACGTAATTTCCGCAAATAATGCTTATACTTCGGACTCTTTGTTTCCAAATTTATGCTTCTACATATTGAAACAATTTACATCGTTCTTTGTTAGCAATCCTTACAATCATGAGGATATCTACATTGTTCTTTGTTAGCTATCATAATCATGCGGTTATCTAATAAGCTCTTTATTAGCAACTGGTGCCCATGCAAGCACCTCCTCTCCTTTGTTTGGATCATTGTCTAACATCAATGTAGATTTATAACCATACTATTGTCAATTAGATCAGTTTAAAAATCATCCAATCCTCCGAATCAGTTTATTCAATTGTTGCCCAAATATTTAGCTGGCATCCAACACATCTCCCTGACATCAAACTTCTCCCCCGAATAACAATTTAACCAAATCATAAAGGTTTGTTTCCAAAAACATTTTTTTGCTTCCACTACAATTTTGGTGCCACGAGCCGGGACATGTCCGACAGTATAAGAAAAGGAAGCGAATTATCGAAGTCGAGAACTCTAGAACTTCTTAAAGAAGCAAGTGAACTCGATCTGACCTCCCCGTCTCAAACACTATCACGAGGGGAACTTCAGCATCAATACGAAATTAAATTGCGAATCGTCAAGGAGAAGATCGCACATCTCGAATATTATGCTGGGTTACTCGAAACAGCTAATCAAAATTGGCTGGATAATATTCAGAGCTTGACAATAGCAACGAGGAGAAAGGAAGAGGAGACGAAATACGCCAATATGGTTGACGATCCACAAGGTATTTTAAGTTTAATCACTAGAACAAGAGAAACTATTATTACCCTTAAAATACATACTGATGAATATTGCTCGGTACTACAACATTTAAAACAAGAAGAGGTCAAAGAATCATTTCCAAAGAATAGTATGATTCACACAAATCAAGCAGAAATAAAACTTCCTCAATTACCACTAATAACGTTTAGTGGGGATCCAAAATTGTGGAGGCAATTTTGGTGTAGTTTCAAGGCAGCAGTCCATGAGCAAAGCATCCCAGATATTCAAAAGTTAAACTATCTGATATCATGTCTTAAAGGAGATGCTTTGTTATCTGTAAGAGGTTATGATATAGCGCCAGAAAACTACGATGTTATAATAGGTTTACTAAAAGAGAAATATGGTAAACCTTTCCTTATAAAGAAATCACTCTACAACGAGTTGAATACCATCAAAAAAAATGACCGAGAGTGGAAAGCAACCATAGAAGCCATGGAGAGAACATTTCGACAACTGGAAGCTATAGGTGAAAATTTAGAGCATTCAAGCATCGAAATTACAATTGAAAATAAACTACCAGCGTGGATAATTGATAAATTATACCAATTGAAAGAGGATTCGACGAGTTGGTCAGTTAAGGATATCCGGCAGTACCTGACAAAACTAGTTCTAAGAAATGAAGAAGTTGCTAGAAGTCAAGCAGACACAAGGGAGAAGAAAACAAACAAAAATAATGTTAGAGGCGAAACGTCAGCTTTCGCCACAATCAACCAAACAGGAGATAATACAATCAAATCAAAAAGGTTCCAGGAAAATTTCTATAAATGGGAAAGGAAACCATGCGTATTTTGCAATAAGGACCACTGGAACAATGAATGTAACATCTATCCCACTCTCAAACTCCGGATGGAACGTTTGAGAGAAATCACTGCATGTTTCAAATGTTTACGAAAAGGACATGCAACAAGTGATTGTAAAAAAGGGAAACCCTTGTGTTTCCATTGTAAAAGTCCACACAATACAGCACTGTGTCCCAACAACTACAAGGAACTCACGCAAGCAGTGGATTCCAACAAAGAAAGGTTGGGTTCAGTCACAATCGCTAACTCCATTACCGAAAAAGGAAATCAATGGAAAAAGCGAACCTTACTGTTATGTAAGGAAATAAATGTAACCAATCCAAATCGCCCAAAAATCCAACAAAAGGCTTTAATTCTATTCGATATTGGTTCTCAATTATCGTTCATATCAAAGGATTTGGCGTATCGATTGAATCTACAAGAAACTAACGAGATGGAAATAAAAATTGCTTCATTTGGTGATAAGACGCCAAAAACGTGTATCACTACTAAAACTGAAATCGGAGTAAAAATTGGAAATAAAGAAATAATCCGATTAGATGTAATAACAGTTAACCACTTGACGAATGAATTGCAAGTAGTTAATCTAAACAAAAAGGAATTGTTGATGATAGACAAACGAAATCAGTTTAGTAATTTCAAAAACAAATGGAAACAACCGGACATACTCATAGGTGCGGATCACTTCTTCAAGTTTATCCAGTTTGACCAAGCAGAGAACTTAAAATCAGGATTTTCATTGATCCATACAAAGGTTGGACCTATAATAGCTGGAAGTGGGTATATAAATGAAATACACGACAGTATTTCAGAAACCACATCAGTAAGTCCGATTTCTCAAGTCAATGCCGTCAATATTCCAGACTTAGATCACTTTTGGAAACTGGAATTAATGGGTATACAAGACAAAATAAACTCTGACAATGATGAAAAAGCATTGCAGCAATTTAAACAAACTATCACTAGGGACAAGGGAAGATATCAAGTTTGTTGGCCTTGGAAAGATTCAAAGAACAAACTAAGCGATAATTTCGGACTTTGCCTTGGAAGATTAAAGTCGTTAATTAGGAGGCTTCAAATGAAACCTCAATTACTAAGTCGATACAATCAAACTATTGAAGAACAACTCAATTCCAATATAATTGAGAAAGTGTCATCGGAAATGAATGAAGTTGGTATTATTCATTATCTGCCTCATCACGAAGTAATAACACCAAATAAAACCACGACAAATCTGAGGATAGTTTATGATGCATCAGCTCATTGTAAAGGAATGAAAAGTTTAAATGATGTTTTATATCGGGGACCAATAACACTCCCTGATTTGGTTGGAGTTTTGCTACGTTTCCGTACAATGAAAAATGTAATAATAGCAGACGTAGAAAAGGCGTTCTTGCAAATAGAATTGCATCCAACAGATAGAAACTGCACTCGATTTCTTTGGTTGAAGGACATTCGAAGTCCAGTTAACGAAGAAAACGTAAGTTGTTACCGTTTCCAACGAGTTCCATTTGGAATTGTCTCATCTCCATTTTTATTGTCCGCTACACTCAATTATCATTTGGAAACTTGTAAAAGCAAAATCGCACTCGAGTTAAGGAAAAATCTCTATGTCGATAACATTATAATACCAACCAAAGGAACCAACGAAGCTCTTTCCAATTATAAGGAAATTAAAATTATATTCAATGAAGCATCAATGAATGTACGGGAATTTCTCTCTAACGACCAAGAAGTCAATGAAAACTTCCGGTACAAGATCGAGCAGAGGTAAGTTCAAAAAAAATTTAGGTCTCAATTGGTACCACAAACAAGATATCATTCAAGTAACGTTAAAACCATGGTTTGGTAAGAAATTAACTAAAAGAATTGTATTGCAATTCGTAGCCTCACAATATGACCCACTAGGATTCATAGTTCCTATACTGATAAGATTCAAATTGTTTCTCCAAACTTTGTGGAAAAAGAACCTTTCATGGGATCAAACTATAAGTGAGGAAGATGAAACCACGTGGAAATTACTCACGAACGAATGGCCAAAGAAACTAAAGGATCTACCAAGATTCACAACAAATTGTTCCAAGCAAGTACAATTTCATGTTTTTACTGACGCATCAACTGCTGCATACTCAGCAGCTTTATACATTCGAACTCAAGAAAGAGAAGTATTCTTAGTGTTTGCTAAATCCCGAATTGCGCCAATTAAAGGAATGTCAATACCTCGATTAGAATTACTGGCAATACTCATCGGAGTGAGAATGGTACAATTCGTATTAAAACAAAAAGAGCTTGAGGACGTGATAACAATTTTATGGTCCGATTCTCAATGTGCGCTTCATTGGGTTCACAATAGTTCCCGTTTACTACCAACGTTCATACAAAATAGGGTAGAAGAAATACGAAAGGCGAAAATCCATTTTAGATATATCCCAAGTGAACAAAACCCAGCTGATATAGCTACAAAAGGAATCTCTCCGAATAAACTAAAAGGATATGATCTTTGGTGGAAAGGACCAAAGTGGTTAACAGAAAACGAATCAAAATGGCCACAGTGGAAATACAATTACAATGAGGATTACCAGGATGAAGAAATTGTGGCCCACATCACAGAACCAATTATCATAAACAAACATTTCGGAATCTTAGATGCTAGTCGTTTTAGCAAATGGTCAAGATTAATAAGAACAACTGGTTGGGTTCTGAAATTCATAAGATTAACAATGAAAAGGGAAATTCCTTGGCTAAAGATGGCAACGAAAGAAAAGAATATATTGACAACACAGGATTACGAGTTGTCAGAAATTGTGCTATTCAAACAAGCACAGTCAGAAGGAGTTACCAAAGATGAAATAATCAAATGGAATTTGTTCTATGATAACGAACTATGGAGATACAAAAGCCGCGTAGTTAACTCTGAAATGAAAGAGAGTAACTTACACCCAATATATCTCCCGAGACACAACACCATAACTGAACTCTTTATTCAGCAACGACATGAACAACTGTATCATGCTGGAATTGCTCATACACTCTCAAATCTGAGATCGACGATATGGATCCCAAAAGGTAGAACGGAAGTCAAACGAATCTTGAATAAGTGCATGAAGTGCAGACGCTGGACAACTAAACCATTCAAATTACCAACTATGGCTGATCTTCCAGCATCTCGGACCATTGCAAGATCAAGACCCTTTGCGCGAGTAGGACTAGACTATTTAGGTCCTGAATATCAGGACGATGCATAGGGCTAACAAAAGATGGGTCACAACATGTTTGTACATCTAGAAGTAGTAGAAACTCTTTCAGCCGAAAGCTTTTTACATGTTTTCAGAAGATTTACAGCAAGACGAGGCTTTCCAGAATTAATCTTAAGCGACAACGCTGGTCAATTCCAGTTAATTTTTAAAATCATTGTGAAACAACAATTAAATGAATTCCTAGCGGAAAGGAAAATGATCTGGAAAAATATAATACCAAAGGCGCCTTGGAACGGAGGAGTATATGAGCGACTTATTGGTAACAGAAAAGGGCAATGAAAAGAGCCATCGGCAGAAAGTTATTATGGGAACGGGAATTGATTACGCTAGTAGCGGAAGTGGAAAGTATTTTGAATACACGACCACTAACTTACGTAAATTTTGATGATTGTATCATATTGCGTCCAATTGACTTTATACTACCGAATGCGCATCTAATCATGCCTGCTAAAAACAAGAATGAAATGGATGATTTTATCCCTCATAAATTGGATTCGAGAGAAAAACTCATTCAATACTGGTCAAATACACTAAAGGCCCTCGATGCCTTCTGGGAAATATGGAAAGAGGAATATTTAAATACTCTTAAAGAAAGAGCACAAAGGGAACACTCTTCTCCGAGAGATGTAGTAAAAAGAACTCCCCACGAGGGAGAGATTGTGTTACTAAATGAACCAGAAATTCCCCGTGGCATGTGGAAACTAGCCAGAATAAGAGAAATCAAAACAGGAAAGGATGGAGAAGTGAGAAGTGTCTCGATAGAATTACCGAAAGGAAAAATACTCAACAGACCGGTGAATATGTTATACCCACTGGAAGTCAAAGGTGAGGAAATTGACCCTCAACCAACAATGTTTAACAAATCAGTGCAAAATGTCAATGAACAAGAACCAATTGCTCTACGAACTAGAAGCGCTATAAGGCGAAGCAATCAACCAAAGCTGTCCAACGAACTAAAGCATTTAGCTCCTTCGGTCGGGAGTGTCGCGGATTTTAATATCGCGATCTAAAAATATGAGTTGCAAATTGTAGTAAAGATATCTACGTAATTTCCGCAAATAATGCTTATACTTCGGACTCTTTGTTTCCAAATTTATGCTTCTACATATTGAAACAATTTACATCGTTCTTTGTTAGCAATCCTTACAATCATGAGGATATCTACATTGTTCTTTGTTAGCTATCATAATCATGCGGTTATCTAATAAGCTCTTTATTAGCAACTGGTGCCCATGCAAGCACCTCCTCTCCTTTGTTTGGATCATTGTCTAACATCAATGTAGATTTATAACCATACTATTGTCAATTAGATCAGTTTAAAAATCATCCAATCCTCCGAATCAGTTTATTCAATTGTTGCCCAAATATTTAGCTGGCATCCAACACATCTCCCTGACATCAAACTTCTCCCCCGAATAACAATTTAACCAAATCATAAAGGTTTGTTTCCAAAAACATTTTTTTGCTTCCACTACAGTATCGTTCTATGGGATATTCAACAAATAACGAAGAAGTGTCGATATCGTAAGGTTGGGAAATTTTAATACTCAATTATACGAAAATCATGTTATCATAGACGAACTACAAACATCATTCGTCTTCAGTAAAGATAACAAAACATTTAGAAGCGAAAACTGCAAATTTTCTAATCCCAACTTAATGGATGGTGACACTGTTATTGACCTTGTAGCGAGGATCGCTAACAATAGAAACAGAAGGAATACAAATTTAGCACTCGCTTCACCTAGAGCTAAGCTAATGATGATGGAAACACAAAGAGGAGACGATAGTGATCCCGAAAATACAAAATTTCAATACTTATTCGATAGTTTGCAACAAGAGTTTCAGCAACAATTAAAACTAGTAGAACAGCGAACTTGTGAAAATCGAAATAATCTGTTATTATTAATCGAATGGTTATCGCTGGATAATCCTACCCTCGCTGCGAATCTATTATTGCAAAGGGATGATGTGATCGCTAAAAGAATCAAGGAAAATTATTGATCGCCCCGTGCAAGTCCGATTCACTTAATATAAAAATTATTGAATTTAGAAGCGGATTGATAAGTAAATTTGAAATCGATAGAATCAATGCAGCATTAGAGATATTAGCACAAAATCATCAAATGATAAATCCAGTTTTCGAACAGCAAGAAACATCCGAAATTTGGAATGAACTCGGCCAACGTGGAGAAAAATTAACAGAACAACTTGAAGGAACACTTGAAGAATGGAAGGTATTTTTACAAGAAAATTTGGAGAAACTCCTTTCGCACTGGACAATAATTATAACTGGGATAATCACTGTGGTAATATCAATTGTACTTATTGTCTTTAAATCTGACTTTACATTAATTTATTCTATATTTAATTTCTTATGTCATAAAGGTCAAACTCGTCAAAGGGTCGAAATTATCCCCATGGAAATATTTACAAGCCCCACTTTCTTATGAACCCCACGCATTACCCACCTTTTCTGGTCGGGAGTGTCGTGAAAGACGAAATATTTAAAATATTATATCCAAAACTAACAAATTCCTCTTATCTAATTCCTAAATCTAATTTACATTTACAAAATTTTTCTCACACTTGATGATTCAATTTCCGAATATTTTTACATTTGTAATTCAGCTATGTCTCATACTAATCTATTTCCTCCTTTCACACACTAAAACTAATCTTGTTAAATAGCGATAAGATGTGATAAAATTAGTCAACACCTGCAAAATTGTTTAGGGAAATCATTACATTGTTAACAATCTTGTTTTTTCATCCATGAGAAATTCTTCCATCTAATCTCCATTCGTTAAATCAGTCTTGTATATAAACCAACCAATCCTTCTATAACCATCATTTGCTTTATGTTTTGGGTGGTTTTGGGATGCATCTAATACTTTATAATTTTGTATTATTTCACCATTTTTATATTATTGCATTTTATATAGTTTACGCGTTTGTTAAACGGTGTAGCATCCGTACGATATGTATAAAGCGCTATTATTTGCTTCATGTTAAATAAAGGTTTAATTACCCAAGTTTGAGGTTTCACGACAACAATTGATATTATCAAGAGAATCAATCCAATCATAATCAGTTTCTAGTGCAAAAGAAGTTGCTCCAGTTTGGCTTGTGTCGTGGAATGTATTGACTGCCAGATATTTTATTTTGCCTCAAACTTGGGTAATTAAACCGAAAATCAATATTATAACAATGCGTAACGAAAGATATAATTATAAGACATTAAAATGATATCAAAAACCACCCCAAAATGTAGAATGAATAACTGTAGTGGAGGATGGTTGGTTTATATGCAGAACTGAACTGACCAGATATCCGGCAGAGGATATTTAAATGATGTGAAACAAAGATTGCTAACAAAGGGTTTTTTATTGTGTGAGAAAAAGGAATTAGCATAATGGCTTAAATGATCTAAACATAGATTAGTTACAACTGCGAAATTATTTGGACAATGATATCTATCAAAGGTATTAGAATTTGAATGCAATTTAAATGTCGCTGTCGTAGTTTCGAATTCTCCGAGTAGCTCTGTTAATTCCTTTCCTTGTTGACTGAGTTCGTCCCAAAAATTCGTTGTTTTTTATGGGTTGAAATTCGAATTCATTCGTTGATTCTGTGCTAGTATTTCCAGTACTGCATTAACTTTATCGATTTCAAATTTACTTATTAATCTGCTTTTAAATTCAGCAATTTTCGAATTAAGTTAATCGAACTCACACGGTGCAATTAATAATTTTTCGTCTATTCTTTTAGCTATTACGTCATTTCTCTGCAACAATAGATTCACAGCGAGAGTAGGATTTATCCAATGACAACCACTCGATTACTAATAACAGATTGTTCCTGTTTTTACAAGTCTGTTGTTCCATTTATTTTAGTTGCCGTTGAAATTATTTTATTTTAGCAGTTTCTTGTTGCTCTTATTGCAAACTATCAAATAAGTATTGAAATTTCGTATTTTCGAAATCACTGTTGTCTTCTTGATATGTTTCTATGATCATTAGTTTACCTATAGGTAGGGCGAGTGCCAAGTTCATGTTTCTCCTGCTTCTAGCATTAGCAATCTTCGTCACAATGTCAGTGATAATATCACCATTCATTCATTAGATTGGGATTAGTGAAATTGCAATTTTCACTTCTAAATGTTTTGTTTTCCTTACTGAAGACGAATGATGTTTGTAGTTCTCTATAATAACATGATTTTCATACATTTGAGCTTTAAAGATTCCTATCACTATAAGACATTTTCTTGTTATTTGTTCGACGAGTGCTAGTGTTGGTGATGTATTTCCCGTCTTGTGTAGAGCAATTTTCTGGGATTTCAAAATCCGACACAAATCTATGTCCATCATACAGAAATATTTCTCCTTCTGTTAATACCAAATTTGTTGTTGCTTGGCATCTAACTCCCAACCATCCGTAGTAGTGCACTTGATTGGTTGCTGTCCATTTATTATGGGAAATTTGGACTAATTTCTTCCCATCTATCTGCCTTTGTATAAAATTTCAGAAGTTTCTGTTGACGGTGCGGAAGTAGTCCGAAATTACTGAGAATGAAAACCATAAAAATGCTTTAGTACACACAGTTCTGGTGATATTGTTACATTTGATCGCAGGGATCGTGATGGGGCTACGGGTGTAGACACTAACTTGGAACAGCGTGAAATTTTGTTTCATGGTTTCTTCGCAATTCCATTTTTCCAGAATATTGAATGGTACTCCCCATTTCCACTGGCATTCTCTGTTTGCTTCCACTTGTGTCATAAAAATATAAAGTATGGATACTGATAAAAGTGAGACAGACAGTTATTCTTGCTTACCCCTTTTGATTGAGATTGTCGTTTTGTATTGCTTCTAGTTCGCATTGCACTGGATTCCTCAAGCTTCTCTGTCTTCTGTTTAGTTTCCGGAATTTTCATATTTTCCTTGTTATTAGGTTCAAGATGATTTTCATCATCATTAACTTCAAGAGGATCCTGTATCCTCTTGAAGTTAATGATGGGCGATCGAGAAGTCTTCCAGCCGAACTTCACCGCTTTTACCAATTTTGATATCCTCAATCCTTAGTAATTTCCACATTCCTCTTGGAATGTCCGATTCATTTAGAAGTAATGCTGTGTTTTTTACGACAGATAGCTTTGCTTTTTTTTTGATTACCTTTCATTTCTTTCATAGTTATTAATGTTGTATAATTGATAACATTGTTCCCAGACTTTTTCTTTTTTAAATTTCGATATTCAATTTCTTATGTATTTGATAAAAGTAACGGACATTATATAGATACCTATATAATTTACTATTCATTGGTTTTCTGTATATGAACTTCAATTATTTTTTATTCTGAAATAAAATTCAATATTTTGTATATACGTGTGTCTATATATATATATATATATATATATATGTAAAAGTTTAAAATGTGAAATTTTCCATATTCATTCTACGTTTTTGGGGGTATTTTGATAATATTTTAGCGTTGTATAATTGTATTATATCCTTTATAATTATATCTATGTGTTGCGCGTTGTTATAATGTTGATTTGTTTGGTTTAATTATCCAAGTTTGAGCTCGGCAAAATAAATTTTCTGGCAACCACTAAATTCCACGACACTACCTGGCAAATTTTTGCTAATATTAACAATTACTTTTCTTAATATTAAAAATTAATAGCTTTTTTTTTTAGACAGTATTCTTTAAAAAAAAAAAAAAAAAAACACGAAAAATATTAGCTAATACACTCAAAAAATTCATTTCTTTAATCATTACAGTACTTATTAATTAGAAAATTAACAATGCACAAATATATATATGAATAACCTTAAATTGATTTAAAAGATTTCATTTTTTTTCTATATGCTTAAATCTCACATCTTTTCGTTTTTTTTTTATTGTGCATTTTTACTCTATTTTAAAACATAAATGGAAATTTCAATTCCGATGCGAATTATTATTTAGTTTTTAAAAAATTATAAGAGTAAAAAAGAAGAAAAAATGAAATTATTCGAAAGTTTTTGAAGTTTTGAGAAAGAAAAAAAAATTGCGCAAACATCATTGTAAAACAGAACAAAAAGAAAGAAAAAAAGGAAAAATGAATCATTACAATGACCAAAAAAAAGAAACGAAGAAAGGAAGGCAATGGAATACTCAATCTAAACAAAAAAAAAAGAGGAAAATGGAGTTTTTCTTTTGTCGCTTAGAATCGATTTGTGTGGGAATGAGAATGTTAAAGTAAAAAGAGAAAAAAGGAAATAGACGACCAACCCAACCCTCACATAAATGATGGATGGTGCTGTGGTGGTGATGATATCATCATCGATTTAATCAGTCAATTAAACCAAGAAATTATTAGGTCATATGATAGAAGCATAATAAAGTAAGGAAAAAAGTTGAAATTTAATTTGTCACTTAGATTTAACTTTTAAATTCAAATTTTGTTATTTGCAGCAAAATATTAACTCATTTGATTTAAATTTTGTTATAAAAAAAAAAAAAAAAAAACAGCTTTGAACAATATATAATATGATGAGACAGTTACGTTAACTTTTCGTTTCTCTTTTCTTCCATTTTAGTAATAACAAGTAAAGCTATAAAACTGTGAAAATACTTATATTTAGGTATAAAAGTTTGCCAAAAAAAAAAAAAATTCATTGATCGAATTTACTGATCGATTTGAAGAATGAAACTCTTCGATTGATCGTTTAACGATATTGCGAATTGTAGGGTGGTGGTGGTGGTGAGATACATTGCTGTTGATCAATGCTTAATTTCGGTCCAGCTAATCTTGGTGGTTCCTGACTTCTTACCGGAATGAATTCAGGTGGTGTATCGAGAGTATTCTGATATTTTCGAGTAATGTATAATTCGAATAGCTCATATACTGTATACATAAATATAACAACAAAAGTACCAATCGCATAAATGAATAACTCATTGACAGCTCTTTTACGATCATCTTCATTCAGTTCATCATTTGCCCAATACTGAAATGAACATAAGTTTCTTTCTTTTTTTTTTGAAAATTTGATATTTACGATAAATTATGCTTATCGTTTACAATTTTTTTTTCAAATTCAAAATTTCGAATTTTGAACTCATGAAAAAATGATTAAAAAATTTAAATATGATGAATAATTTTGATTTATTCCAAGAAATAAGAATAATTAATCATTATTGCTCTTGATCAGTGCTTAATTTCAGTCCAGCTAATCTTGCAGATGGTATCCATGTGTACAGAATAAAATCATTTAAATTCCCAATAATTAAGTAAATATTAGAAATGATGGATTAGATCAACTCATACCTCATATGAAGCGATTACAACATCATTAAGTTTCTCGGTGAAACCCATAAAATATAGAATTAAAATAACAGAAATGAATGTTGTTATAGCAAATTGACCAGTAAGTAGTATCAAACGTGGTAAAACATAACGAGAATTATTTCGTCGATATGAAACAGCTAGTGTTATTGTGCTTAATAATTCACATATGAA